GAATAACGTGTTGTTTGTAGAATGATGGTGAAAGTTTTAAATCATAGTGATATGTTTAGATACTTTAAGATATTTTTGTTTGCACTTATAGTGCTTAGTGTAACAGATTCAGTGAGGGCAAGAAAATTTTCGTCTTCTAGACACAGTTATCCAAAATCGGGTGGTCTTTCTGGCGGCGGAGGCCACCATTATCCTAGTTCTGGTGGACTCTCTGGAAACAGTCGCGGATATCCTTCATCCGGAGGTAGCCATGGGTACCCGTCCTCTGGCGGAAGTCATGGATATCCTTCATCTGGTGGTAGCCACGGGTACCCATCGTCTGGTGGTAGCCACGGGTACCCATCGTCTGGTGGGAGTCACGGTTATCCCGCATCAGGTGGTCTATCAGGATCTGGAAGCCACGGATATCCAGCAAACAAAGGGCTATCAGGATCCAATACTGGCCATACTACCAACGTACACTACCACTACAACTACAATCCACCACAAAGGATTTCGTACGCCCCAGCACATGGTGGCCCTCCTGTGAGCTACCCTGTGTACCGTGGCGCACCGCCGACCTATGTTTACCAATATAAGGATTCCGGAAGCAAATATGGTACGTTGTTGGCTGGGTTGGCACTTCTTAACCTAGGAACCCTTGCAGGCGGACTATATGCAAACAGACATTCCAATTACAAACCACAGCCTGGCGAAATTTGTAAATTCGGAATTAGAAAAGCCAACGGGGATTACGAAGAGACGAAAATCGACTGTAAATTAATAACAAGCTTTATATTTGAGGAAGAAGCTAAGAAACCAAGCGGTGTGCAGAATTCCACTGTCACCACTACAACCGTGACCAATACGACTGTTGTGAACACTACTAATTTGGCAGAGGCTCCCCCTCAACCGCCCGTTGCCTTTCCACTTTACACAATGTTGCCCAATGGTACATTGGTGCCGGTCAATGGAACAATGTTCAATGTAACCTCGATGAATAATATAACGAATGCAAACGACAGTGCGCCCGTGGGCAATGCAAACGCATCTACTGTGACGTCAGTGACGACGACGACAACAAACACAACGGTAACGAATGCGCTGGACGTAAAGGGAAAGCCGGTCGACGTCACGCCAAACATGAAGTGCTATGTCATCCGGAATTCCCCATCTTCGAACATGCGCCGCAGCGTCCCTTGCGGCCTGTTGCAGACTTACGCTGACCAATCAATAAAGAAAAACTCTGCATCAAATCACCTACCGTCCGTGACAATTCTAAGTGTAGTTTTTGCAATTTGTGTCTTATACTAGTTACTACCCTAGATATTAAGCTTCTCGCCTATTTTAATATTTAAATCTCGTTTGACCAGTTTCAACTTAACTTCACTATCTGTTTATTTTTATAATTAGTGCACGTAGAGTTAATCTTTATTTACTTGATTTAAGTTTTATAACCAGTTTATCATGATTATAGAGTCATTTGTCAAGTTAGACATTCTCATTAGCTGATTCACAATCCTTCCGTAACCCTCCCACTACGTCTTCTCTCCACATTTCTCCTGTCCTCCGTCTACCCCACTGCCTTCAATGGAGCTCAAGATTTAAAAATAAAATAATATTGTAAGCGGCAATTATATATTTATAGTTATCAATTAGAATAACCAAAATCTATGACATTTTTGGAAGTGTTATTGTATTGTATATGAGATATTTATATAAAAGTATTTTTTTATTATTAAACTTTGTTTCAGACTTATTGTGTTATAATTTTTATCATTTAAAATTTTTTTTAGTTAGAAATAAACCAAAACTAGGACGTTGTGTAGGTGATAAGAACAAAGCAACACAAAAAAGTACCACAGAACCTTAATGTTTTAGCTCACGTAACAAGCAATACGATTTGCGGCGTAAATTAACATCAAAACTGGCTAGAATTACTTGTATTGATTTTAAAAATCATACATGCGTGGATGCGGAAAATATTCTTTGTTAATATAACATAATATATTTTCCTTATCTATTTAGTACTTTGGTAAAAAATGATTCGAGAATTGATGCCACATTGATACAAGATGGCGGATAGTTGTCAGACGTTTACAATAAATTAATTAAATAATCACATAAAGTGCGAATGTAAATTGTTCGGTTAGAACAATTCCCTGATGATTTTTACAACTTAACTAATTAGCGTTTACTCTTTATCGATTATGCAAAGCACGAAGTGTTAGCGCTTAGTTACTCTTATAAAATTTAACATTTGTAGGAAAATGTATGGGTATTTTTTTGTCTAATTATTACTGATAATGTTGCGTACTTTTTCAGTAATCTAATCCATTTGAACTGCACTCCTCTGGATTAGGAGTATGTTTTTACAAAAGGAATGACTAGTTAATGATATGTGAGTAATGCCTATAAATAAAATAAATATAAGTAAAGTTAACCTTATTACTTGTAGACGAGAGAGTATAAAGATGACTTCGTAAGTAATCTTCGTGCTTTATTGAAGTTGCCATACATATTTGCAAATAAGTAGGGCAATTGATACTTCTATACGATTTTAATTATGATATAAAGATATGAAAGATTGAACGAAAATGTAAATTAGTATACTATTCTTTAATTTCCATTATTGTTAATATTCAAAACCTAAATTGTTTGTTTTATTAGTGACGAAATCTGTTTTCAAGTGCACTGATGCATGACAAATTTTAAAATATGGCGTGTCGTAAATGAAACAAGGGAGGCGAGAAATAACACTTGTGTGCAGAATAAAATTCTTACAATTGTAACATTACTTCAATAATGTTTTTAAGAAGTTTTGTCCTTGCGAAATTATTATACAGCTTCGGTAACAAAGGTGATAATCGCAGTAACTATCCAATGAGTATTGTACTGACGTAATAATAACGAGGTGTGTCATATTTAGGTCAGGTGTCTCGCATAATGAAAACCCTCCAGTCTACTTACTTCTATAAGTTGTTGCCTGGGAGTTTTCGTCAAATTTTTATCAAATCTAATGTTTAAAACTATTTTGTATGTTTAAATACAATACTGTTTTTGACTGAGATGCGCCGGCCATATCAATGTTGTTGAAATAAATATTTAGATTAACATAAATGGGTACATGTCTTTGGTTTAGACAAACAAAATGATTATCGCTTCATGTTTTAACCAAATACTAAAGGTCGCCCATTGGTTGAAATTCGACAGAATTCTTATGAAATATTTTCTAAATCTTATATAAAACATTCTCGTGTCACAATTTTCGTTCCCATACTCCTCCGAAACGGCATGACCGATACTCATGAGATTTTGTGAGCATATTGAGTAGGTCTGAGAATCGGCCAACATCTATTTTTAATCCCCCTAAGTGTTAAGGGTAGTCCACCCCTAAATTTTTATTTTTAAGACAAACACGCGGACGGAGTCGCGGTCGACAGCTAGTTTATTATTAAAAATATCTTTATCCACTTCCGTACATTAACTGTGTCAAACTTCAGTCAATCTCAAAGGATTTAAGAAAACTGAATTATAAATACATCAATTAACGTATTACCTTTTCCATTGATTTTATATCAAACAGTATACGTATACAGCATACGTATACAGTTTTTAGTTATGCAAACATGATACCAACGGGTATCATCCCAACATAACAAAGGCGCATTTGAACACGATATGTGACAAAAAAACAACTTGATACTTAATAGTTGTGAGAATCAAAGCTTATAACCGAGGAGGTATAATAATTACAGTATAAACGTGGCATAACACAAGTATTTCAAAGATATATAAATATATAATTTACATCTTCAGTCTTATTATTATTTTTTTATATTAAAAGGTGGCAAACGAGCGAGCGGCCACCTGAAATCGCTGAAATAGCGAAGTGACCGTTGTCCATAGACATACGCAATTGCATATGCGTTGCCTACCTTTAATCGACGGAGGAGACGATGCACAGAAAGAAAATATCTTCCTTTTCCATGCATCCCCTCATCCAGAAAGTCCACTTCCACTTCGCATCCTTTCCTTATAAGAAAACGGGTGGGAAGGGAAAGAGGACTAAATTAGGCCTCCGGGACGCACACTCATCAGACGGAACGCGGAATTGTTTCCACTTCACGCCTGTCTTCTTCGTGGTCGTGGTATTTCACCGGGCAAGCCTGGCCAATTCGTGCGAAGATGTTAAAGCGGGCTCTACCACTGTTGTGTATTTATAGTCGGTTCTTATAAATAATGTTTAATACTGTATGCATCTCTTGCATAAGCAGTTGTGATGGGTAAACAAATTATAAATCTTGTATTCATAAATCAAAGCACATCGTGAATAATATAAACAAGATGTCTTAAGCACCAACTGTAATGTATAGCATAGAATTAACATTCTTATAATTCCTTTTCAATCACATTCAGCAATTTCATATTATAATTGAGCCTGTATCGCACAGGCTCAATTATTATATGAAATTCTAAAGCGAAACACTTAAAAAAAACACTGAAAATATTTTTAAAGGTAGGCACCGCATATGCAATTGTCTGTCTCGTATGTCTATGGACAACGGTCACTTCACTATTTCAGCGATTTCAGGTGGCCGCTCGCTCGTTTGCCATCTTATGTCATAAAAAAATAGTAAACGTCACTCAATTTTTAACAACAGTATACGTTAATTTTATTTTATTTAAGTTTCTTTATCAAAATATTTTCCCAAAAGACTCGCCAGTGGCGAAAGGTGAGTATGGTCATCCGACCACGTCGTTCGAATCCAAAAAAAACTAGATCCTAGAGTAAGCATATATACTTAGAACGTGTTTCCAATAGTACAAGAAATTAATATATTAACAGATTTTTATTAACATTTTAAATTTAAAAAAATCTATCCCAATAACCAGTTGACACAAAATTACGATTCCTCAGACCGAAAATGAAAATATTATTGTTAATTCATGATACCTTTCATGAAATCAGTAATAGACCCACAAAGACAAAGTTATATTACATTCTAAGAGCATGATAAACTGTTGGCTGGAATGTGAAATTTTTCATCCACTATAATTTCATATCATTAGTTTGAACTCTGCTATTGTGAAACGTTGTAAATGTTGTATGTTCCCATTGTTGAAATATATGTACATACGTCCCTCTCTTTCTCGTTAAAGAGATTAAGTGTTTTAAGCAGGGATTCCACTTCAAGTAACCTGCTTGTAAAAGCAAATAGCCCAAAAAATATTTTTAGGTTCTTTGTTATAATTCATATTGTATCTTTGTATTTTACAATTCGTTGCAATATATGAGTACCTGTTAGGGTTGCTACCTTTTGTTTATATACTGCGCTTAAATTCATAATTCAGGGCGTCTCGTCGTTTTTTACGTTGTCCATTAAGGATATATGAAATAACTAGACATGTTTTTGGCTTTAGTGTGTAAATTCATTAGTCATTTGTTTTTGCGGCGCCACAGTTCAAGTCTATGTTTATAAAAAGTTGATAGCTCCGTCATGAAGACTGGACCTTCAATTGGTTAAATATGTTGGATGTTCGCAGTTAATCTTTTAATTTTTTGATAACACTTCGTACACTAATTACAGTAACGAGAAAAATAAATGTGTCCAATTAAATAAAAATATCTAAAACAAACATTAAAATAATACTTTATATGTTATTCTGTCATGATTGACTTTGAATGATAAAACATATTATTTTCCGTCAAATATGTAGCATCCAACTACCTAAATAACTAATCTGTAGTTGTTTTATTTCTATTCAAAATTGTGTTCATTAAAATCTAACTCGAATTGTAAAAAGCTTTGCGTGTATGCCGAATAAAAGTGGAAAATGGTTTTATAAAAAGGAGCATGTATTGTTATAATGGCCATTGACCTCTGTGTCACTTTAGTGGTCGGTTTTAATTTGCCTTAGCGTGACAGTGTAAACTGTTAGAATTATCGATTCGTATTTTATACTTTTAATTAGGTTAATGTTCAACTTTTTTCGAAGTTGACAGTTGAAGAAGGGAGAGTTGTTCCTTGCTAGAATCCAAACATTTACCATAGACAAACCGCTTTAATTGAAAATTCCAAAATATTTTTGAACTGATACTTTTGAACTACTATATAAAATAAGGCACTCATTTTTTTATAAATATCATTTCATTTTATCTCAATTTCCCTAAATCTTACTAATATTATAAATGCGAATGTTTAAATGGATGCATGAATGTTTGTTAGAAGGTATCTCGCAAATAATTTCTGCAAGTATCTCGCTGAAATTTGGCATAGAAATATGACATAGTCTGGAAGAACACATAGGCTACTAGGTAGTAATTTATGTTTTTATTTAATTCCGTGCGGACAGTGTAGCGGGCGACTACCAGTGACTAATACAGTGAAATGTAATGGCTGCCATTTATTGAATTTGATGTTCTTTTGTCTATGAATTTCGACTTTGGATTGAAACGAACAGTAGTAGGATAAACAATGAATGTTGTCGATGGACTTATTAAAAAAGTACGTAAGTGTAGATAAAGCTGTCGTAACCGTGTCGTGTGAATTAGGTTTGCTGATTACTTTTATCTGTAATATCAAGAAGATATTACGTTATGCCACTTAGTTGATTAAACTTAGATGATAATTGTAAAAGTATTGAAAAGGGATGTTTGCGTGACTTTTGAATTTCCATGTAAATCTCTTACAATTTGCCAAGGCAATTTAAAAAGATTTTCTTTTATTTAGAACGCAAAAACATTAATCAATTATTTGCTATTTAAGTATTTGCTAGAACAAGACAATATTTAACTGTTTTCACTTTTTATTATAATATAACTAGATGTCGCCCGCGATTCCATTCGCGTAGATTTTAAAAAAAAACTTAATCAGTTGCCTTTGTTCTTCCAGACTACGTTCTATCTATGCCAAGTTTCATCGGGATGTGTTCAACCGTTCTGGAGATGCCTTCAAATGAACATCCATCCATCTAAACTTTCACATTTATGATATTTTTAAGGTTAGCAGAATGAGGAAGTTGCCTCTGATAGATTTTTTTATCAATCAATTTCGTTGTGGGTCTTCAAGATACAAGGTCGCGGTTTTCAACGCAATACCAACAATTTAATATTAGTCATCTGGACTCTCCAAGCGATAATAATGAACTTTAAAACATAGCGTAAATAACATAATAATATAATATAATTTTTATAACAATGTACTATAAGTAATTATGAAAAGCAATGAAAAGTACTCTTTTGTATTGCAATATGCGAAAGTTTGTATTGGTTAGCAGTTCAAAATAACATGCGACGGCAAATATTTGTACAAATGTTTGTAAAACGTGTCATATCGAGTTTGCGTGGTTGTAAGACCACTTTTCCACTAGCCGTGCGACTATTATTTCTATAAGCAATGTATTTATTTCGACTGGCGTGGCACCGTTTAAATAATTATTCTATCCTTGAGATAAATCCGAAAATTGTTTTCATTATTTTGTATTAAACGGAGTGCAATAAAAAATTTCAATCGCCTTCAGATGCGGTTTTATCGGTTAAATTTGACCAAATAGATTAAAAATGGTCATTAAAATTCCCGGAGATATGTAATACTGGTTCCAGATAAAATATTGTTTGCGGCCGTTGGTATAATAAAGATCTAACAGTGTGTCTGTTGACGTCATGCAGTTTTAAGTCAACAAAAGGGTTTTGCAGGGATAATATCTGCGTGCTGGGTGTTTGGTGCGGGCGTGGGTTTGCTGCCGTTGTGCGGTTGGCACGCGGCGGTGGGAGCAGCTCCCGGCTGCTACTTCGTCGAGGTGATGGACTACAATTACCTCGTCTTCCTCTACTTCGCTACTATCGTCACCCCCAGCGTACTGCTTGCTGCTTTCTACGCTCATATCTATCGAGTTGTTGTCAAACAGGTAATTTTAACATTCCAGCGGGTATCTTCTAAAACAATTATTTTCACTCATACGATAAACATATATCCGTTGACGAAATTCGAGGAAATTGATGAAAAGTTAGTGCAATTAAAACAAGAAAATTGCTTTAATTTTTTATCAGCGATACAAGTCAATGCGAAGAATTCAATTCTATTCAATTGCTCGTTTATGGGCCATAAATTATGGCTATACCTTTGCGGATAGGTCCAGTGTCAAATGAGTACGAAAATGTAATAGCTTGAATAGCAGTATAATTTAAAATTTAATTGGATTTGTTACAATCTATAAAGATGGGTTTTCTTAAAATATTGTCTATTGTGCTTAAATATTAGAAACCAACATGATGATTGAGGTGTCGTTCTATTTAGAATATTTTTGTATTATTTCAGCCCCAATGTCATATGTAATACTTGGTTCTTTTTGCGGGTGACAGATGAGTGCGGTGGTGACAGTGGAAGGCAGCCAGGGACGCACGTCAGGCGGCACGATGCTGCGCGTGCTGGGCGCCGCGCAGAAGCGCGAAGTGAAGGCCACGCAAAACCTCGCCATCATCGTCTTCTTTTTCATCATCTGCTGGATTCCGCTCTACACGATCAATGCCATAAAGGCCTTCATGCCCGAACTGGACATTCCAAACCCACTAACTTATTTCTGTATAATTTTCTCTCATCTCAATTCCGCCATCAATCCATTATTGTACGCGTATCATTTGAAAGACTTTAGGGCTGCGTTGAAGGGACTGATCTGTACCGTGTTAGGCCGAGGTGTACCGATACCAGCGGCATATAGACCGCCCGTGCCGATGAGAAGACCAGCTCTAGAAAGATGTAACGCTCTGAGGGAGAGACCAAGGGTATACGTCAATTCTCCAGTATGGTTGCGTCAGAGGGAAGCCGAAACCACTGTCAATGAAGACAAAAATAAGTCCAAAACTGTTACGACTCCCCTGGGTGCAGATACGGAACCGTTTCTAGACATACACATAGCTGATAGTTCTAGTGGACGGCATTCACCTGAAGGTCGAGAAAACAATCTGTATCTCATAGACTCTAATCCAGAGAGATGCCAGAGTCCGTACAAAAAAGTGGAGGAGTTCATACGGAGAGTGCGCAGTGTCGGCTCAGAGCACAGCTGACAGGACCATAACCGGGACATCCCCGGATAGTAGATTTATGAAAAAAAGCTTTAATTTATTTTGTAAATGTAGCATTTCTAGATAAATGACACTATTGAATGTTGGTCACGTATTTATGAATATTTATATTTTTTATTTTGTTTTTGAAGCCTCTATATTGAATGTTACGCTGGATGTGCTTGTTGAGTCAGACGGTCAATTACAGCTGTGGACATAATGCTGTTATTAAAAGTATTCGACATTTTAACTTGTTTTTATTCACATTCCAAATATGTATTTAACAAAGCACTTTCGCGACGTCAGCTGAGTTAATTAATTAATTGAATAATTGTTGTGTGTTTGTCAAATAACTTTGACATTTACCAAAAACGATTTTTTGTTTAATTAATTTACTTAAGACGTTCCGTTTTAGCAGAAGTATTCATAAAAAGAATATAGATATTTGATTACCTAAATACGTATGCGTTGTTGATTGGTTTCCATCTAAACGATTTTATATATTTTTTTTTTATTTAAATTCCTTGAAGGTACAATTTTGTTGAGTTTTATCCTTTTCATTTTTAAATTAATCGACACTGTTGCTCGGACATTGCGACCTTGGGTGTGAATAACGTATGACATTGAAATAAATGTTTAATTCGAGAATTGCAGAAATCGTATTTCTGAGAGAAGTGCGCCATCTATTATACATATAGTGTAACTCACGATATTCACATATCTTCTATAGACACGGATGTTGACAAAAGATGGCAGTATACACAAATAAAAATGATAAAGTAAAATAAAATAAGAAAATTAAGTATAAATGAATCTATTGATAAAATTTCTACACCTTTAAAGAAACGTAAATTTTCATAAACTTTGAAATCCCTTAGCGTCGCAACTAAGCAATACTTTGGATAGGATAATTGCGATTAAGTGGTCATAATTTTGTTAAAGAAATCTGTAGCCTTCGTTTTCACACATTTTACGTACACCCTGTATAGTTTTTGTTACCGCCCACTCTAGAAATGACTTAATTCTATCCTCCAACAATTTGCATAATTATACGACAGCTTTCTTCATCTTGCTATTAAAATACGAATATATTATTTAATCGATTCTGGAAAAATAATTACTTCCTTTTATATTTCATTATTGAATAAAAAGTCTATCAAGATGGCTAATTTTATGAAAAAACTTAAGTGTAATTTAATGGAAAATTCACTACAGAGTCTGATTTGGTTAATAAATCTTGTACCAAATATTTGTGGATTTTCATATTTTGAGAGTAAGGCTGGAGGTAAAAATATAATTTTTATGCATTTTTTTGCCTTGTTTCGAAGTGGTTGCGCCCACCTTATTGAAGTTTAAGCTTGAATTCCGCTTTAAGGAAACGGACCTTTTAAAAAGTCACTTCACTGAGTTAGAGTTTGCTAGGTCATCAAACTTAATAGCCGGACAGACCATTTAGTTTGGCCGGACACCCTACATTCCACCGGCCTAAAAAAACCTAACATAAGCCGGTCAACCCGGCCACTGTTTATTTTGGCCGGACATGCAATCAAAAAGCCTACCTATGTCCGGCTTTATCCGGACACCTGGCAACGCTCCACAAAGGGATGCCTTTAGCGACAAATAAACGTCAATTAGTCCGGTAGGAAGTTATTAAATGTCTATGGTAATTATTTGAATTTGTTACAGCCCCATTTTTTATTTTCTCCATTGTATCGACAAGTTATATTGTCTTAATGGGTACTGTGGTTTATCTGATACGTTTCACTAATGGATATCTTGATACAGTAAAGAGTTATCTTAACATATTAGTTTACACCGTCGTATGGAATGCCTGGAGATGGTTATGTTTCGAAAGGTGAGATTCATATTAATCTTTCGTCATAATTTCAAATAAATTTCTTAAACTAAACGTAAATAAATAAATTATCAAAGAATTGTAGTTGTTACATTGTTAAGAGGTAACAATGTTTGTCTTTATATATATATAAAAATCAATTCCTGTTCGTTAGTCTCGCTAAAACTGGAGAACGGCTTAACGAATTTATGTTATCTTGGTCTTGAAATGTTCGTGGAGGTCTATGAAAGGTTAAAAAGGTGAGAAAAGTTCGAATAATTGCAGGAAAAACCCTCCAGGAAACTTTTTTTTAATCACGCGTGGACGTAGTGGCGGGCGACAGCTTTTCCAAGATAAATATATTTTGTAAGTCAGTTAGTCTTTAATAGTAATTTGCTTTTATTAATTTTCAGAAAGGGATTAAGGAAAGTTTTGAAGCTTATAAAAAATAACAATGATATGCCTATGCAATTCGAAAGAAGCACTGGGAAACGTAAAGGAATATTTAAATATCTAAAAACGATTGTACTTATTTGCTATGCATTACATTTTTTTAATGAAATTCTCATTTACTTGCCAAAAAGGCTTGCTGAAACTGACGAATTTTCTATAGTTTCTTGTGTGGGTACGTGGTAAACAAATAATTATAAAAAATAATAGAATCTTTGTTTTTAGTGGTAACACAAAATATGCGTTTTTAGGAGAGCCATTTTAGTGTACCTTAATATGATTGAAGTGTTCCTATGTTAAGACTATATTTCAGGGATGACAAACTAATCATCATCATCATCATCATCATCATCAGCCTATACTAGTCCACTGCTGGACATATGCCTCTGCCATGGCACGCCACTGAGCGCAATCCTCGGCCACTCTCATCCAGCTCTTGACGAACTAATGACTGTGGCCAAATAAACCAATATTTTGCACACGTCACTAAGTCATGAGCAAACTTGAATGATCCCTATACTAAGGTTATTATGGAAATCATTGCTAAATAAGTTTTATGTTTGCAGGCTTGGAACCGATATCAGAGAGTCCAAACAAAGAAATTTGTAAAGCATTACTTACTATTCAATTGTTTGGAGCAATGGTTGTAGTAGTTTCCTATGATACAACCTTTTTATTCTTATTCGGGTACACAGCGTCAATGTTTTCCATTCTTAGAGAGGAGATAATGTCATTAGATGTTAGAGACGAGGACACTGAGAGACAAGAGGTTGTCGAAACTGTTGAAAACCGCCTGAAGAATATAGTGAATCGTCATTCTTTGACTTTGCATACAGTTGAGAATATCCAAAATATATACAACTTTAGCATCGGAGTTAGCGTTGGAGAGGACGCTATTACGATGTGTTTATTTTTCGTAATGCCATTGAACGTTAGTTTGAATTTTATCCCACTTTTAATACATGATTTCTTAGCGTTTTTCCTATATTGTTATCAAGGTCAGAAGATAACTACAGCAGCTGAACGTTTTGAAATGGAAGTGTATTCTTGCGGATGGGAGAATTTCGGTGTCAAAGAACAGAAAATGATACTAACCATGTTGAGACAATCACAAAAACCGGTGATAATAAATGCAGCATCTGTAGTTCCGATTTGTATCTATACGTTTGCTTGCACAATGCAGAGTATTTATAAATTCGGTGCTGCATTCAAAAGTTAAAAAGGTTATAGACATATAATTAAAGCATATATTAAGCAACTATAGAAAAATTAGTAGTTATTCTGTTATAAACAACCTACATTGTATTTGTCTTTTATTGCACTAATTTCAAGATCAGTAGTTCTATATAACCATTTGCACAGGATTATAGAAGAATTAATAGATGTTGACAAGAAAGTTATACAATCACTAGATTAAGTGATTTTAATGATATTATGATCCATTATAATATTATAGAATTTATACAGTAAACTGGTATAAAAACGGTTAAACACTTGGGTATATTCGTCCGGTGGCGGCATCGACTAGTTTCGAGCCCATCGGGGGCCCTTCATCAGGGTGAGTGGTTGAGTTAGCGACTGGCCGCGTCCGCGAAATAATACCAGTCCCACTCACCGTGATTGGTTCGAAATTAGTCGGTGCCGCCACCGGACGATTATACCCAAGTGTTAGCCGTTTCTATATAAGTTTATTATAATGTCTCACGAAAGTTCGAGTAATTTAACATTAAATAGTGCACAATGTTATAGTAGTTTAATACAACAATAAAAATATTATATCATTAATTCTTGTTCTTTATTCATCCTATAAAAATGGAAATCCTAATGTTGGGAAATTCACAATTAATTCATAATAATTATAACTATATTAATGAGACTATCAAGAAGCTAACAGGAGCAGCTGTTGTGAAAATGTCCTGTCCCCTTTTTTGTATAGATCTTAAAAAGCTGAGTAAGACACCTCTTTGGTGACCATGTTTGACCAGCATGGAACTCTCCGTTGTTCCCTTGCATTGAACTAGCGTCTGAGCTTAGGATATTATACTTTCGAAAATCGACAATGTTCTTAAGTTGGTAGTTGCTGAAGATAATAGATAGGGACCATATGCATTAAACAAGTAGAACAGGATGTTCAAGGAGTCACAAAGGTGTGGTAAGTGGTCAAGCAGTTGCAATACCATCCACACCACCTGGATGGCTGGCATTCCCCAACGGTGCGATTCTCGCGTAATTTCTTCCCTCGCACAGCAGCGTTGTGGAACGGTCTGTCCTCAGCGATATTTCCAAACCAATACAACTTAGGGACCTTCAAGAAGCGAGCATACCATTTCCTTAAAGGCCGGCAACGCATCTGCAGTTCTTCTGGTGTTGCAGATGTTCATGGGTGTCGTTGATCACCTCGGTGCTCCCGCCGCTCGTTTGCCCCCTTCTCTTATAAAAAAAACATACTAACATGTTTTTGTCGTCCCATAAATTCTTAACCTCGTATCGTTATAAGATTCTGCATATCTTCTGCATATATATAATACGCATAATTAAAAAACAATTGAAAATTAATATGACTATCTGAATATGTAACTTTGAGACTCATTTCTAAATTGACTTAATACGACTACCAACAATTACTTAATTGCACAACTAATCTTTGCAATTAAAATGATTCGTTGACTAATTTTGTGAAAATGATTATTTCATTTCGCAATTTGATGGTGATGTGAATGAAATGTTCGAAGCCATGAGGAACTTTATATTACAATTTAAGAATAAATTAACAGATAACTCTTTTGAGAATCTTATTTGGTTGATCAATCTGTTCCCAACTCTGTTAGGATTCTCTTATTTTGGTAATCAAATTAAAGGTAAATATTTTGATGGAATTACTTTTATTACAAACACACGATAAACTTCTAGATATAAATAAAAACAAAGAAATCTTCGTGGGTTTTGCTATGAAAAAAAAGATAATACTTGTAAGAAATATCTAGTATATCGATTACTTTATTTGTAATTTTTAAAGATTCTTTTCCCATTTCCTTTCACCAAAAGAAAAAACTAAATTTTACAATGGTTCTTCAGTCCTTATTTCATAGAACGAGAAATGTTTTTTTTTATTAAATATTAGCAGATTTTTTTGTAAATTTACTAATATTTCTTTTACCATTCCAACTAAGCTCTCGGCTTGTGCTAGGATATGGTTTACGACAATAGTCGAATGGCGGGATTCGAACGCCCGACCTCGTGATCGGAAATCTGTACCCTTAACCATTAGGCTATTGACGCTTCATGTAATTGATGTGTTTAATTTTTTTAATCGATAAATATGTTATTAACAATTTTCAGCATTATTTTGGATATTTCTACTTGCTAGCACGTTTTACATAAATATTGTAGGAACTGTAGTTTATCAGAAAAATCATGCTGCAGGATTGGTTGATACTTTGAATAGTTATTTTAATGTATTAATATTTATCATAACCTACAATTACTGTAGATGGTTTTTATTTGAACGGTAAGTTGTTACAAATTTTATTTTAGTTTCTTACTATATTATATTAACATAATTAAGGTGAAATTTACATTAATGGATGTTTGTTTTTATGTATCTCCAAAACGGCTTAAATCACGTTGAAAATTGTCACTGATGTATAACATAGCCTGGAAGACCGCATAGATTATTAAGTTTTTTTTTTAATTTCCCATGGATGAAGTTAGAAGGCAAAAGCTAGTAGTTGTATATGTAAATCTTTCTTTTCAGAGTCTATGCTTATTTTAACTCTTGAACTGCTAAAGATGTTAAAAGACTTAAGGGTAAAAATTATCAGTTACTATTATAAAGAAGTTTTTGTAGTTAATGGCATCCAAGGAAGAATTACAATTACTTTTTTTCCCATTTAATTAAATTACAAGCAAACGTAGGAACAGGAAATTTTATGAAAGGTTATTGTAAAGTAATTTTTAATTCTTTCAGAAAAAGTTTAATGAATCTTCTCGAGCTTGCTAACAAGAACAACGATATGGCAGTGGAATTTGAAACAAGCGCTGTTAAGCTTAAAAAAATAATAAAATCTATCAAAAATCTAATAACCATATGGTACTTATTTCATTTAATAAACGGAGTGTTTGTGTTCATACCAAAAAGAATATCAGAAATGGATGATTGTTCATTATCGTCTTGTGTTGGTAAGTTTTTAAAATTGGATTTTCCCAAATAAATTCTCTTTGGAAATTGAAAAGTCTGTAATTGCAAATGTCCATGTACGTAGATGTACGTCGGTGTACTCGGTGCCCGTTTGCCCCTTTCTCTTAGAAAAAAAAGATATACATGTTTTTTTTCTTTTAGGACTAAAGCCAATGTCAGAAAGTCCAAATAAAGAAGTATGTATCCTGATCCTGACTGCACATGCGTTATTTTGTATCATCACAACAGCTGCCTATGATGCAACATTTTTGTTCTTATTTGCTCATACAGCGGCCATGTTTGAAATCCTAAAAGAAGAAACAATATCATTAAATGGAATTTACGAAATTTCAAAACATGAACACCTTGAAGACACACGAACAGTTATGGAAAGACTTAAAAATCTAATAAATCGTCATTCTTTAATTTTGCATACTGTTAAAAAAATTCAAGATATATACAATGTTGCTGTGGGTATAAGTTTTGGTTTAGAAGCGATTTCGATGTGTTTATTCTTTGTTTTACCTCTAGAAGCAGTTTTAAACTTAATGCCGATTATAATTCATGGTCTTTCGATGTTCTTCTTGTATTGTTATCAAGGACAGAAGATAACCACTGCAGCAGAGGGATTTGAAATGGCGGTGTATTGCTGCGGATGGGAAAACTTTGGTGTTAAAGAACAAAAAATGATATTAATTATGTTGAGACAATCACAAAAGCCTGTTATATTAAAAGCAGCATCGGTAGCCCCGATTTCTATTTATTCATTTGCTTGTACTATGCAGTCTATTTATAAATTAGTGACAGCGTTCAAAACTTAAATCTAAATCACGTAGAATTACTTTTTGACCTAGTATGCTTTTAGTAATAATATGCTAGAACCTAGGAATCTTTGACACATAATGATGTAAGACACAGTAATAGTAGAAAATAAATATTAAATAGTATTTGTGGTTTTACTTCTATTGTAATTGCAAACGAGCAAGCGACTATCTGCATTCGCTGAAATAGCGAAATAACCGCTGCCCACTGTAATAGGTGGGATGAGAAAGTGGACTAAAATATTGGCCTCAGGGACGTACAATCATCAGAAGACACGTAGATAAACTCAAAATTTTATCATCTTTAATTCCGATCACAGAAACACTTAAGTATATTATGTTATCTTTACTTTCTATATATTTTTGTACGAGGTTTTGATCACTGAAAAACTGTAGTAATTGTAAAGAAATTCATATAAATCTTCACATCACCCTACTAGTGTTAGGTTAGGTTAGGTTAGAATTCGGCTCTGATTTTTAATATTGTTTAATACAACTTTCATTTCTCATCACTAGCTTATTGCAAGAGTCGACTATTCCTGAATCATTTATGTCTAAATAATCTTAACAACTGGTGCTAGTTTGCTAAACGATATGATTGACTAATAATTACTTAATTAATAAGATCCAATTAAAATATGATCGTTAAAACGATTTTGCACTTGACTTACTCCATTTCATGCTTGTGATTTGTGCATATCGCTTATCACAATGGAAAACTTTTTAAAAGAAATAAAAAGTAAATTTAGAGAGAACTCTTTTCAGAATATTATTTGGTGGATAAATTTGTTTCCGAGGGTTTTTGGATTTTCTTATTTTAGTAGCAAAGTTATAGGTAAATATTGAAATATATCATATTATAGAATTCGCTGCTAAAGGGAACTTTAAAAAAAAATTAGTATTACAAAATAATTGTGAAAGTTACTAATAAGGAATATTGAAAATTTTTGAAAGAAAATCTAAGTTGAAGACCTTAAAATTAGGATTGAAATAGGGAATAAAATTTAGTAAGCAGGAAAGTGGCAATAATTGTAAGCTCTTACAGACAGTAACTTTCATGTATAGCTTAGTATCGGAATCCTGGGTTTTACAGAAGTAAAAGGCTTGCTTTTCAATCTACACCAAAGGACTAACTTATGGAGAAAAGAAGAAGTACGTCAGATTTTCATTTTTCAGGCCCTTTTTGGATTTTCCTTCTGTCATGCTCGCTTTATCTGGATATTATTGGGTTTGTGACTTTTCACATGTTCTACGCAGACGGACTGATCGATATGTTAAATAGCTATTTTAATATTTCATTATTTGTATTTACATACAATACCGGGAGATGGATGATATTTGAAAGGTGAGAAGCTAATTTTTTTGACTCGGCTTGTCAATAATTAGTTAAGAATTATGTTAGAAGAGTACAATGGGTGAGTAACAATGCAGGGGTCTCATTTAATAAACTGCTGTTATTAAAGAAATTAGTGGTTTATCGTTGATCAAATAACGGAGGAGAGGATGCACAGAAATAGAATATTTCTCCTTTCCGTGAATCCCCTCATCCGGAAAATCCACTTCAAATCCTATCCTTTAAAAAAAGGGTGGAAAGGGAAAGAGGACTAAAATTAAACCTCCTGCTCAGACTTTCTGCTACGCTTTTACACTTTGACATTGGTTTTTTTTAGAAAAGGTCTACGTAAAGTTCTCGAGCTCGCAGAAAGGAATAACAATATGGCTATGCAGTATGAAAATAGTGCTCCAAAACATACCGCTTTAATCAAATCTATGAAAATATTAGTAATTATTTGTTATTTCTTTCATTTGATAAATGATTTCATTGTATTTACTCCGCAAAGAGTGTCTAAAATAGAAGATTTCTCTGCGACATCTTGTGCCGGTACGTAAATTTAAGACAATCACAAAATGAAATATTTTTTGTTTTTCTATTATTTAAATTATCTCTTAGGTATGGAGCCATTAAAGAAGAGTCCTAACAGAGAAATTTGTACGACATTTTTTGTATTACAAGCAATTTTGGGAATCTGTATAACGGCTAGTTACGATGCAACATTTTTATTTATTTTCGCTCATACGGCGGCCATGTTTGAAATTCTTGAAGAAGAAACGATGTCTCTGAATGATGGAGAAGTTACCACAGTTGCTGAGAGGATAAATAACATAGTTTATCGTCATTCTTTAATATTACATACAGTTAAGGAGATTCAAGAAATTTATAGCGTCACAATCGGAGTTAGTTTTGGACTAGAAGCAATTTCTATGTGTATCTTTTTTGTGTTACCGTTGAATTTAGCATTTAATTTTTCACCAATCATTGTACATGGTATGTTCGTTTTCTTTTTATATTGTTATCAAGGACAGAAGATTACTACGGCTGCTGAACGGTTTCAAAACGCGGTGTATTTTTGTGGATGGGAGAATTTTAGTATCAAAGAGCAGAAAATGATACTGATTATGTTGATACAATCACAAAAGCCAGTATTATTAAAAGCGGGATCTGTAGTACCAGTTTGCATCTATACGTTTGCTTGTACTATGCAGTCAATATATAAATTCGTAACTGCATTCAAAACTTAAGTCCGTGTTGGTACACATTTGATATTAAATAATAGCTCCTCTAATAAGTAGTAAAAGTCAATTGTTTTTGTTATATTATATCTTGAGTTTCTATTGCCTAAGAATTTGTACATATTGTCCTACTTTTCTTAAATTTCTTTGCGAAAATAGATTTTTTGTACACGTTCCAGCAGTGGAAATCTCTCGGCTTAAGAATTATAGACGTAGAACAGAACCTTTGTTTTATTTCATGACCTACGACTAATGATAAAAAAGCGTAAGTTACTCCCGCATAGTTAAGGTACATCCCAGTAAAAGTGGCGTCAAAATCGGCCTATTTCGGAGATTGCCAGGTACAAACATAGACTCGCAGACAGTCTTACAGACAAAACCTTTAAAAATTATATTTTTGTTATAAGCAAAGCAAACATCTATATCTTGCTTGATTATTAAAAATCGTCTATTACTAAACTATTGCTATTTTTCATGTACCTCTAGGTGTCTTCGTCTTGAAACAAATTCGACGTTCGTGAGTTATTATATATTCTTTTGTTTGCTTTTTTTATAGACCAGCCATTATTATTTTTCTATAAATGTAGAGTTTGACTTATGGGCAGTCATGATTGTAGTCTAACAACTATTAATTAAGGAGTCGGAGTTCAAAGGAAATTATTCAAATCACACACTTTTGCCCACATTATTATTTTGCTAAGGTGTTACAATACTATACTGAGAGTCTGGGTGTATTGTCGATTTGTACGTAACTTTGTTACATTTAACTATCTTATGTTTTATATAGTTTCTTGTAAATTATCTTTGCTCAGTTTTTTTCTCTCTACTATTAAAAAATTTAATATAAACACAAATTAGTTGCAATATAAATTATTTACATAACTCTACATTACTTTTGACTTATTTATTTTTTGTTCTTTTTATTTGTATTTAGTCAAGTAAAAATATAAAAAAAAAATTGAGACAGAGCCAGAGGTTTAAGTAATGTTTTTTACTTTGGCTTTGTAGAACTTTTTAATGTGTTACATTTATTTCTTTATATCCTGCGCGTTGTAGAGAAAGACCACTATTTATAACTTTAGTCCTTTTATTTAAAGAAATATGACTTTAAAAAGATATTTAAGAGATTTATTTTTAAATGGTAAAAAGCATTTCCAGCGAAATAATCTAGAGAGTTTACTTTGGATGATAAATCTTATACCTAATATTGCTGAAATCACTAAAGAAACTGGTATGTATTAAAGTAAATATAAAATTTTAGCTTGTTTTAATCAAATGCCTTATTTGATTAAACAGACGAACATCAAATTCCATATATGGCGGCCATTATGACATTTAACAAGTTCAGGTATTTTGTAAAAATTGTGTGATAAAGAGAAAAAAATAACAAGATGGCTGCCAAATTAACTTAATACGAACAACTGCACACACTACACACTGTCACCCCTAACTTAGGGTAGGCTCCGAGCCCCTCAATGAGGACGTATAGTGAGCTGACGATGAACTCCACACACTTCTTGAGTCATATCATACACCAAGGCACTACACTTTTTCTGCACCGGACTACGTGTGAGTTAAGCCTTTGTTTGATTAATATATTTTTTTAATTTTCAGCTGCATTCTGGGCGTTGCATTTTGTCCTACTGTTGTATATCTATGGGTTAGGTTGTCTCGTCTATCAAGTTAAGTTTGCTAACGGTCCAGGGGATTTTATTAAAAGTTACGTCAATGTTTCCATCTTCACACTAACTGCAACTAGCGGCGGTTGGTTTCTCATGAAATGGTAATTATTATTATACACTTTTGCTTTGAAAATTACAACAAAATTGGTAGCAACGACATTATAGACTATATTAAAAACTAGCTGTTGCCCATGTCTCCGTCCGTGTGGAAAGAAAACTTAGTATGTGTTCTTTCAGACTATGTTCTACATCTATGACAAATTTCAGCGAGATCCATGCAGCCGTTCTGGAGATACCTTCTAACATACATCCAAACATTTGCATTTATGATATTAGTAAGATTTTATTAATTTATCTTTTTCTTTTCATTGTTAATTAGCTTTGTTTCTTATGACTTAGTATTATTTGTTTCAGGCCATTTTGTAAAAACGTTCTAAAGAATGTTATTAAGAATGATGAACTTGCTCGTCAATCGGAGTTTCTTAAAAAGCGTCACTCAAACCTGTTGTCAGTTATCAAGAAAATGTTATTGGTCTTTTACATTTCGAACATGATGAACGTTTTCCTCATATATTTACCGAATCGCGCTGACTTACAGAATGATAATTATTCAATGACACAATGCGTTGGTGAGCATTTGCCATAATACAGCAATAAATCTTTACTTTTCGATCTTTCTTTACTTTTCCGAGTTTTCATAGATTGTTCTAATCACCTAAAATCTTAAACCTTTTCTTATGAGAAAAGGATGGGAACGGGAAGTGGATTTGACGGAGGAGGGGACGCATAAGAAAATCAAATATGCTTTTATTGTGCGTCCCATCTTCCGTCGATTAAAAGTATCCAATGCATTTGCAATTTCGGATATCTTTGGGCGACAGTCGCTTCGCTATTTCGGTGAACTTAGGTGACCATTGCTCCTTTGCCACCTTTTGATATTTATTGAAACAGCAAAAACACTAACAGCAATGACATTCAAAAGTCATAATGACTCATAAGAATATCAAGGACTGATTATAATGGTCGGTCAATAGCTTATACTGTAGAACACAATAAATTCCCTCAGCTTTAGTAAACGCCTCTGCAATTTAATTTCATACTATAAATCTGTCTCTGTTTTTTTAGGCCTAGAACCTTTATCTACGTCGCCGAATCGAGAGGTTTGCCAGATGATCATTCTTACGTTGGAATTAAGTTTAGTAACAATTGTCCTCAATTATCAAGCTCTTTTATTGTTACTGATAGCTCACACAACTGCGATGTACCAATTAATGGCGGACGAAATGACGGCGTTAAATGAGTACGACAATGAAAATGTTAAGGAAAAATTACCAATAATGATACTCCGTCATTCAATTACTATGAGAACGGTTGATGATTTGAAATTACTTTATAGCGTACCTATAGGTATTCATTTTGGTTCAAACGCAGTTTGCATTTGTTTATTTTTTTATTTACCGTTACAAGATTGGATAACATTTATTCCAGTGTTAATGTATTGTTTTTTGGTGTACTTTTTATATTGTTTTCTATGTCAGAGGTTAATTAATGCTTCGGAAGAGTTTGAAAGAGCCGTGTATTGTTGTGGATGGGAGAAATTCGATTTGAATGAAATGAAATTAACTTATATGATGTTGATGCAAGCACAAAAGCCTATTGAATTGTTAGCTGCTGGTATTGTGCCAGTTAATATTTACACTTTTGCAACATCAATGCAGGCGATGTTTAAATTTGTTACAGTTGTCAAATTTTAATACAAAAGTTGATATTGGAACTTTGTTACATATATGTTTCGTTCTAAGTACCAGTTTCAAAGTCAGTATCGCACCAAATTCTACTCAAGAATAGTTTTACAAATACAACTGCACAATAGCAAAGTCTAAAGCGAAGATTTATGTTTTCTTGCGATTTAAATTTATAAAGCACCGTTCACTAAGTGGTTAGTCTAAAAATTAAATATGCATTCAAGTTGTAATCTGCAGAAGAAACAGTGACCCTACAAAATACGCAGGTAAGAAATTCTCAAGTAATGAGTTTCCGAGGTTTTGTATTGTTGTAAGACATTGATTTATTAAAGGAACAGTACAATAACACTGATGTAAATGTTTTCAGTCCAGTGAGCGGACTAACATTTCAAACCTTAAGACATAATGGAGTCATCGTGTAGTGAAGTAATGATTTTTGCCTAATGTAAGTCGATTTCATCACGGTAATAAAGTTTTGTCTTTGTTCTTTTTTGGTGCAATCTGGTCTTTTATTTTCCCTTTCATTTTATCCCGATTGACGGGTAAGGTTACGTTAAAATAAGCTATATTACCTTGTGCTGCATTAATATGGGTAAAGTTATCCACGGATTATGTTTTCATCACGAGATTACCCTGATTTTTACAAACTTTACGTGGGTTAGTAGAGAAGAATGTAACTACACATACGAAAATAGGTGAAAACAGGAGGAAACATGTAGCAACTTATTTTTAGAGGTTAAATTAGTTTTGTAAATAAAGTTCGTTTTATAATTGCTCTTTTATTATTTATTTTTTGTCGACGAATCAAATCGTATTACAACCTAAAATTACTAATGTGCCTTTATGACCGTGACATTTATAAAAATTCCTCAACTCATGTGGCCTTCTTTGAAGTAAATGTTATCGGCAAGTGGGACAAATAGTTTTTCTAATAATTTTGATTAACTTATTTGCTACGTCGTCATACCGAGGGGATCAACCCTACCCTGACTGGGTGACCAATCTAGCCTAAGTCCAATCCGTTTGCCCAGTACGGATTGATTAATGTTATTTGCTTAACATGAAGCAATAATTGAATTACATCTCCAAATTGCTAACGGAACAAGTTAAGTGCAAACGTATGGAACGGTCGGAACTGAGAGAGAGAGACTAGAAATGTTTCCATCCAACTCGCTCAACTAGTTTGGCTCGAAGCGTCAGCCAATGCGGTATGTTATTTAACATTTTGCGCAAAACCTTTCGACTTTTTTTTAATAATAAACAAATAAGTGAATAAAAAAGGTTGAATATCACATTATGATGCTGTAGTGTAAAATGTTATAGTTTTATTTTTGGTGTAATATAAGTTTGATTTTAAAAATGAAATTACTTGTTTTGTGTTTAATTGTTATTGCTAATGTTAGCTATAATGGCAAAGCATCCATCGAAAGTATAGATCCAGGGAACACAAACATTTTATTGACGGATACAACTAAAAATGCAGGTAATTCCACAATTATTCACCCACAATTTGAAGGCATGGATAACTTTTAAGTACACCTATATAATTTAAAAGTATGTTTTAAGTGTAATTAACACATAG